CTGATATTCGCCTGTCCTGTTGTTCCATGAGTCGATTTAGTATATACCGTGTTATCATTCTCAATGGTTAAATGTGGTGTGTTTAGTTTCTGCGCTGTTCCTTTCCTAAACGTCTCTCGCGGCTGACCGCATCACCATCTGACCGCTCCATCATCCGTAACGCACACCGCCTCCTCCCCGCCGTTGCAAGCGAGTCAAGCCTGCGACACGCGCATTAGGATCCCGTTCTTGGACCGTGACGCAATGGCGCTCCGGCTGTCATCGAGCCTATCGACAGTCATTGGGTCTTTCCATGCGTCACCTCTCAGAACGTCAACATCCTCCTGCAACTGCCGCCCGGGCTCGCTGTCCGCCACGTGGAGCGGGGAAACGTCGCAACGCCACGTCATCCGCGAGGCAGCCGTGCTGCGGAGCCGTGCGCGAGTGAGACGCGTCAATGTGAGTTGCTCGTATCCCCCCGATCTACTGCTTCCAATTTATACTAGCAGCATTTGCGGCTACAAGGGACGACGCGAGCGTGCGGGATGTCTCATTCCCCCTCTCAGCTTCCCTTACCATGACTATAGCACTTTAACAGATTTAAAGCTATCACACGACCATGATCATATGCATTTCATGCGTGCATGCGTCAATGCATCGAGAACCTTGTTTCCGTTTCACATCCTACATTCACTCCTTTCCCCACTCCCCTTCCTCTCAACGCCTCACTTCTTCGCTCTCGCTCCTCCCCACATCTCCCTCATCTTACCCTCCCCCCTTTCTCCCCTCCCTCGTTTTTCCCCCATCTCTCCAAATCCCCCCTAAACTGCTCATCAGAGACCCACGTGGCGAGCACACGCCACACCCTCCTCCTCTTCCTCCTCCTCTTCCTCCTCTTCTTCTTCCTCTCCCACCCCCTCCTCCTCCTCGCCGTCCTCCTCCGCGCCTCTCTCGCTGCAAGATAGCGACGACGGGAGCGATGACGTGTCGTCGCCTCGTTCCATAGCTGCAGGGCTGCACCGCCGCTACCGCGCCGTCGTTGACAGCGGCTACCGCGACCACCTTAAGGTGAATCAGTCGTCAACGTCAACGTTGACGTTTACGGAGGGGAACGAGCCAAGCAACGTCAACTAATGAAAAGAAGCCAGTCAACTCTATCATAAGAAATGAAGAGTTATGCAACGAGTCAAACCGTTCAAGAAACTGAACTGCAGCAATCTCACAAGGCAGTGGCTGTATACCATCTACTGCACTTCCCTTCCCTTTACCTTCCCTTCCCTTTCCTTCCCTTCCCTTCCCTTCCCTTCCTTTTACCTTCCCTTCCCTTCCCTTCCCTTCCCTTCCCTTTACCTTCCCTTTACCTTCCCTTAACCTTCCCTCCCCTTCCCTTCTCTTCCCCTCCCTTCCCTTCCCTTCCCTTCCCCTCCCTTCCTCCTCTCCCTTCTCTCCCATCTCTCTCCCTCGTCCTTCCCCGCGTCATCCCGTCTACGCCCTGCGCACCCGTCTACCCCTACAGGAGTTCGCGCGAGCAGCAGTGGCGGCGTATGCAGTGGGGTGCACGGAGGAGGGGCTACGGCGGGAGCTCACTGCACTGCTCTCCGTACAACCCCCCGATCCTCCCTCAACAGCAGCAGCAACCGAAGGAGCAGCAGTATCTGAAACAGCAACAGGAACGGGAGCAGCAGCATCAGTAATGGACACAGAAGCAAGCGCTGCAGAGGAAAAGGACTTGTCATTGTCGTCCTTGTCATTTCCCTCGTCTGTGCCATCCGCAGCAGATATTTCCGCAGAATCACGGCATGAGGTAAGCCGCGTGTGAGAGGAGCTCAAGTGTCTGGGAGAATCTCGAGGTTCTTGAGTGGTCAATCAAAGCTCAGCATTGAACTACCGTACCGGATGCTCTGAACAACCGTAGTGGCAAATGCGCATGGTCACCCATTCACCCTTCCCTCTGCTGCTTGCTTCTTTCTCACACCCTTCACCTCCACATTTTCCTTCTCTATATGCTCATCTCTCCCCCCTGCTTGCTGCTCAATCTCCCTCCCCTGACGTTCCTGTTCTCCCTCCCATTTTCCTTTCCTGCTCCCACCCCGCCTCTTCCCCCCAACCCGCTCCCCATCTGCTCCGGTGCATCAGGTGCAAGAGTGTGTGCTGTGGGTGGCGATAGTGTTTGTCACGATAGCGGTGCTACCGCAGCCTGTGGTGACGCGGTGGGCCATGTCCAAGGCAGCGTCACCCGATTCGCACGTGCAGTGGAAGGGCTTCTGCTCGCTCATTGCCAACGCTTACTACACACAGGGCATGGCCTGGTCAGTGCTGTTGCTGTCAACCACTTCTCCTTCTCACATTCATTGACCGTCCTCTCTTCTGCTCTCTGCTCGCTCACGTGGCGTGTTCAGTGCGACTGCTTTATCCTCCATCCACGTCCGCTTCCCCAGTTGTTCACTCTGCTTCCAGCACAGAGTCCCTTTCCCCCCTCCCTCACCACATCTGATCCCCTCGCATAGACGTCTGGTACCCCGAGTTTTGGCAGCAGATGGAGCAGTTGACAGCAGCGTGGCGGGCGTGGCAACTCCCAGAGTCGCCCGTGCCATAGCAATCCCAGATTCACATCACAGTACTGTGCGTGTTCAATCACTTCCCCACATCCGTCTCTCCCACATACCCTCATTACACACCACCAGGTACCCCCTAAGTCAGGTACAGATGGAGCAGATGGCAGGGGCGGATGACCTTTGAGCCATCTCAATGGCCACCCCTCCACACAGCCGCATCACCTACCCTCGCCAACCCCCACCACCAGGTACTCACTGATGAAGCAGATGGCAGTGGCGGACATGGCAAACGCCAAGGCATGGCATTACCGGCTGGTGTGCTGTCACCGACATGCCCCCATCCCACCTTCTCACCCACCCTCATCCACCACCACCAGGGACTCAGTGAGTCGGCTGCAGATGGAGCAGATGGCTATAGTGTGGTGGTTGACCTATGATTAGGCTTTTAATCCCCCCTTTCACATCCCCCCTCTCCCACACACCCTCGCCACCCCCCATCAGGTACTCGGTGGAGCAGATGGCAGTGGCGGGGGTGGCGGAGCCAGCAGCGGTGGTGGCGGACAGAATGCGCCTCGTCTTCACCACTCTCGAGGTCGTCGACCCCCGATGGGGGGGCCTGCAAGACTTCCCCACGCTCTGATGTGATGCGACTCCCCCTCCTGCTGCTTGCCCTTGCGCCTACTGCTCCCACCACGTGTCATACCGTGCCATGCCTTGCCTTGCCATCCATGCTGTAGTTATCCCATGCTCGCCCAATGCCAATGGTTGGCATGCATAATCGGTCAGCAACCTCTTGTTTCCTGGTTAAATCGCTTCATCTCTCCCACCTCGCTCGTGTCGTAACATTCCTCCTTCCACACTGCATAACCATCGTTCCCCTCTGTCCCTCCCCCCTTTTCCCTAAACCTCCAACTGCGGCTTCCCCTGCAACCCCTTCCATGAACAATCCCGGTCATCACCACCTGTTGCTGCAGCACCTCACTCCTCATTGGCCCTCGAGATGACATGCTGGCACTCCGGAATCTGTGCTGCCCCAGACTGGCTTTTGTTGAGCCTGAATCCTTGTAGATATGACTTGCCTATGAATAGAAGCAGACCATGTGTTGCCTTGTATAGGAATGTGCATCACTTGGTAGTGGATTCTCTTCCCGAGGAACATGTGCTGACAGTGTGCATAATTCAAAATTATGGGGCACCCTCACTCACTCGCAATAGCAATTATCGTGTGTATGTCTAAGAATTCCACCAGGACCTTCTATGTTGAGGTTTGGTATCATAAAGTGCAGACCTTACATAAGCCTCAATCCTTTGCAGAGTGTTCTACAGCGGAGAAAACTGTACAGTACCACCGATCACGGAAGGGTCCATCTAGGAGCTTGTGGAATGTGCGAGGCGTAGAAGAGAAGATGCTTCCACGGAATCTACGGTAGTGAAGTTCTATAAAGCCTGTCAAACCAATCCCTCTCTGTGCCGTCAGACTTTATACCGCATACGTCTACTTCATTCCGCACTTGTACATGCTCTTATTAGCTTCAGCTTGCCCTCCTATATTGATAAAACCGCCATCGTTCCGTGTTAGGTCGGCGCGCTCCTCGACTGAATAGTATTTTACGTCTTAAATTTCGCGATGACGGACGTTTCAACGGATCAGCCAGACGACTCGACCACGTCGTCGCAAGAGCTCCTGCTCGACGGTCTTTCGCTCCCCGCTCTCTTCGACAAGGCTTACGATGTTCACTCTAGAGCCGATTCGGAGACAGTTCCACCGGTATGCTCATGTGCTTCCTCCGTTTTCGAAGCTGCCTTTCTGTACCAAACAACGGTCATCCTATCCACGATACTTTGTGTTTGTTTAGTGTTTCTTCTCGCGCTTTTGTTCTGACTGAGAATAATTTTGTGCTATTTTTGCCTCCCGCCGTTCTCGGCGCCGTTGATTGCGCGGAGACAGGATGAATTGGAGGTCGCGATAAAGTACCTGGCGGAATGCACCTCGCGCATCCGGCATCTCGCTCTCTTCTCGTCCAATGAGGAGATCGACGACGTCGCCACCGGAGACATTAAATACCTCCTGGTACGACATTAATTTCTCCTGCTACGTCCTGTCATGAAATCTCTGGATCTGCTGATCTGCTGATCTGCTGACGTATGAGATTGATTGGATTCATTGTGGCACTCCAGGTTTTTGACGCGGCACTCATCGTTGAAGTTTGCCTCTCGATATGTTAAACAAACCCCTGTCGTAGCTCTCTGTTTTAAATCCAGAAGCCCTAGTCTAGCTTTCAAGCGTTCAGGCGCAAGGTCGAACCGCTTACGGCCGTGTCCAACGAGTCTCCTGTCCAGGCCTGCTCCGCTCTCTCCGTTCTTTCCGTTCTCTACTCGTGCCTCCCCTGCTTCTTCCCTCCCTTCCATGTTCGTCTTTCCTCTTATTCCGGGTTCCCATCCGTCCTCCCCGTTCCCGCAGGTGCCATGGCTGCACGCGGATTTACTGCAGCGCGTCCCGGCATTTCCGACCGCACCCGCGCCATCGGCTGCCGCTGCCGCTGCAGCCGGCCCCGGTTCTTCCACCATGCGTCCCTCCGCATCCCCAGTGGCCATCGCCTCTGCACGCACCGGCGCTCTCCGCTCCTCTCTCCAACACCTTGCTGTCAGTTCGCCATACCACTCCCCACGCCACCTTCCCTTTCTTTCTGCCCTACCACTCTCCACTCCCCTTCCTTGTCAGTACTTTGTTAGTATCTCCCTGCCCGTTTCATCTCCATAAATTCCCGTCAGTCCCTCTCCTCCTCCCTATGTCTCCACGTCACACATTTTTGGTTTCCATATCTCCCATTCCTTGCCTCTTCCCGCACACCCTGTTCACCTGCCTGAACTCGGGCTCTTGCTTACACCGGTACTCTTCCCCCTTCCCCCTTCTCCCTCCCCAAACCCCCCCGCTTCCTGCTCCTTTTGGTGTCATCCCCACCCCCGGGCATTGGCACGGGCAGTCATTTCTTGACTCCATGGATCGCCTGCGAGTGCCACTAGAGTCAGAGCGGTCGGACGTGGTGCGTGCACACGCCCTCGCAGCCTCCACAGCAGGCAGTGGTGGGAATGGGAATGGCAATGGCAATGGTTCAGAGGTGAAGGATCTGGACGCTACCGCCAAGAGGGCACTCAAGGTAACCTCTTTCTCTCATTTTCTCCTGTCCTTGGTTTTTCTCCTATCTTCTTCTTTCCGTTCTTTCCCTGTTCTCCTTCCTCCCGTCTCGTTCTCACTCTCCCTCTCCCCCTCCCCTCTTCCCCTCCCCGCCTCGGTGCTCCCTCCACGTCCCCCTCGCTGCCTCTAACCTATTCCCCCCCCCCCCTCCCCTCTCCCTCTTCCCCTCTTCCTTCTCGTCCTTTCGCAAACCTCTCTCCCCTCTTTCCTTGTGGTGAGAGCAGGTGCAGCGATTCAAGCGCGAGCGCGAGCTGAAGGGGCGGCTGGAGGCCATTCGGCGGCGCAAGGCGGAGCGGCAGCAGCGCGTGCGCAAGGCACGCCCGGGGGCGGGCGCACAGGCAGACGCAGGGGAGGACGCGAGTGCGGACGGTGCTGCTGTGGGGAGTGGCCTGGAGGATGACGATGATGATGACGAGGTTGATGAGAGGGAGGTGAGCCTGCAGGCAGGGGGGAGTGTGCTCCGTGTGTTGCCATATTCATGAGTTCTGTTCTTCGTTGGTCTGTAACCTCTTTCAGTCCTCTACCTCTTTTCATTTTCATGCACAACTTGAACTGCCTTTTATCTCCAACCCACTCCGTCCACCTCTGTCCCTGCACTGCATGCAGGCATGGATGCTGGCGCTGCGGCTCGCCATTGTGAAGGTGCGTTGCTGGCCCAGTGAAGAGCACTGCAGGGGTTCTTGCCGTCTGGGGGCTTTTCCCTTTCCCAGAATTTAGCTTCTAGCTTCTCCCATTTTTGCAGCTTCTAGCTTTTGCAGATTAAAACCTCTGTGCTTGCTCTCATTCACTGTGCTGCATGCTCACCACGTCCTCTCACTGCGTCTGGCGTCCATGCGTGTGTGCTACAGGCGTTGGATCTCGTGGACTCACTTGCTCGTGAGCGACAGATGCTGCATGAGGCAGCGTCTGCTGATTACAAATTCCAGGTCGGTCTAGAGTCGAGAATCAAGCCGCTCCTCTCCTCTCCTCTCCTCTCCTCTCCTCTCATCTCTCGTGCTAGTATTGATTGGTTTTCCTTGCAACCCTGCATGCACCAACTCTTGTTGACCATTCCCAAGTGAATTTCCCCTTATGATTCTGCGATGTAAGAGTATTCATTCTTTCACATCCCTCTGCCTGTGAACAGCTTCCTGCTATCTCCGTTCGCTCCCCAACCCCTACCTCTCCTCTCCTGCTTCACCCACCCAGTCGGACCGCTCTGGAGCAACTGCCAATCCCTTTGCACCGGAGGCGCTGGATGATCGGCTGCGCAAGAGAGAGGGCTCCCACCGCGCCGCTGCTGCGGCCGCCGCCGCTGCTGCTGCAGGCGGCAGGCAGCTAGTCCCCCCTCAAGCCATTGCCTGCGCCACTCTCGCCCAAGACGTGATCGAAGGCCGTGTACCCCGTGAGGAGATAGCCAACCACCGCCACACCACTCCCATGGTCTTCGGTCCGATGAGTCTCATGAGTGCGGCTGCTAAACGGGGGCCGGGGAGTGGGAGTGTGCTGGGGGGGATTACGGGGAGTATGTCTGGTAGCGGCTCTGCTGCTGCTCGAGACCCGCTGGCTTCGCTGCGGGTGTTCCAGCCGAGCCATAGTGTTGCGAGGATGAGTATTGAGGAGGCGGGGGAGAGGGAGATGGCGATGATGGCTGCTTGGAAGGAGCGGACGCGTAAGGAGATGGAAGAGCAGGGTATGATTGTGAGGGAGGATGATGGGAAGGGGCAGGGGAAGGGAGAAGACGGGGAGGATGAGGTGGATGAGGAGGAGGAGGAGAGGCGGACGGGTGGGAGGTATTTGGATGATGAGGAGGATGTGGATAAGGCAAGGAAGTGGGATGATTACACTGATGACCATCGGCGCGGGTGGGGAAATAGCAAGCTCACTCCTTGTGGCTGAGTTCTCTGTTTTTTTTTTTAACTTGGTGGCGTTCTGTTTTTTAGATTGATTGGGTTTCTGCCAGAGTGCGTTTCATTGTTCTGTACTGGTAATCATTTAATGGTACGAGATATTGTTTTGTTGCTGAATTCAACTATGAGACTTCTGTAGAACATGAGATCGAGAACCGCACGCGCGAATCGCCAGATAGTCGCCGTGACTCGACGAGCTGACGGCGACAAATCGGTCACCCGTTAACCCTAGAGGCTATCGCCGATTAGCACTGACATCCCCTTTGACGCCGCCTTCCTGGCGCTGCCCGCCTGGCGCGGCCTGAAGTGGCTAGAGGCTTGAACAGTGAAGCTCGTTTGGCACACAGCATCTTGATCGGACGGCTGTGATCAGCGCGCGGCCGCCTGTACAACAACAATGTACAGCTCCGGCGGGTGAGTCGAGGAAGTTAAGCACAGGTCCGTGGCGCCATGCGGCGTGTGCGAGCACCGCCTCCTTAATCGCGATCAATACATTTACGTTTTTCCCTCCGTCTCAGTGTCTTCCTATCACGCCTTTCGCCCGATGCTTCTCAACCCGCTCGTCCCCCCAAACCCCTTCCCCGCGCCGCAAACCCTAACCCTGCTTCCCCTTTATTTGCCTCTCCCCGCCCGATCCGCGCAGGCCCGGGGGAGCGGGCATGATGATGGGCATGGGGGGAGGCATGGGGGGAGGCATGGGGGGCGCCATGGGGTACCCCGGCGGCGGCGGAATGCCGCGCGGGGGTCCGGGCGGCGGCGGGATGCACATGGGCGGAGGACCGCGCGCGCTGCCGGTGGTGAAGCTGCGCGGGCTGCCGTTCAGCTGCGAGGAGGGCGACGTGGCGGAGTTCTTCGCGGGGCTCGACGTCGTCGACGTGCTCTTCCTGCGCCGCGACTCTAAATTCTCCGGCGAGGCGCTCGTCGTCTTCGGCAACGCCATCCAGGCTGAGCTCTCGCTGCAGGTCCGCGGGGGAACGCGGGTGACGGGTAACGGGTGTAGCCGTAGCGTGGATACTAGGCAGGTCTTGTTGTCTTCAGCAACGCCATCCAGGCCGAGCTCTCGCTGCAGGTCGGGGGGGGTTCGGGGTAGCGGAGGGCGGGATCGCGGGTGGCGGGGCGCGGATAATAGCCGCAGCGAATACTAGGCAGGTCTGGTCGTCTTCGGGAACGATCTCGCTGCAAGGGAGATTCTCAATCCGCGCATCCCTCTCATCCCCCGCTTCCCGCGCATCCCGCGCATCCCGCTTCCCCCGCACATCCCGCGCATCCGTCCGTTGCAGCGCAACCGCATGAGCATGGGGCGGCGGTACGTGGAGATCTTCCGGTGCAAGCGCGCCGATTACTACAACGCCGTCGCCAACGAGGTCGCTCAGGACGGCGGACAGTACAAGGGGCCAGGTGCGCGCAGGGCAGGGGGGCAGGTGCGCGCAGGGCAAGGGGGCAGGTGCGCGCAGGGCAAGGGGGCAGGTGCGCGCAGGGCAAGGGGCCAGGTGCGCGCAGCAGAAGGGGGCAGGTGCGCGCAGGGCAGCACAGCCGCCATACGTCTTAGAGCCACTGACTCCTCTGATTTGAAGTGGCGTGATTCCGACATTGCTGTCTTTGAGTTGAGAATCCTCCTGTTTTCTCATCCACACCCACTTCTCCTCCCTCGCATCACACACCCTCCCTTCCCTCCCCTCCCCACCTAATCCACACTATGCCCTTCTTTCCCCCACTCTCCCGTCCCGCGCTCGTCCCTCCCCCTCCTCGTGCAGAAACTCAAGGGCATCAAGGGGCGGGGCGCATGGGGGGGGGAAGGCCGTACCGCGGGTATGGGGAGGGGGGGGGCGGGGGCATGGACGGGCATCCGGCAGTGGAGCACACAGGCGTGCTCAAGCTGCGCGGCATTCCCTACTCCGCCACTAAACAGGTGGGGGGGGGGGGAAAGAATGGCAACTGGGGGAGAAGGGGGAAGGGGGGGAGGGGTTGGGGTTGGTGTAGTAGCTGCTGCGAGATTTGTGACTCGTGAATGATATTTTTTGTAGAATTCTAATAAGATTGCATTCGGCGTGTGTCTCTCCACCCTTTTCTCCTTCTCTCGTTCCTCCCTCCCCTCCTCTCTCTCCACCTCTTCCACCCACCTCCTCTCCCCCACTTGCCCTACCTCACTCCCCCGCCCCTATCCCCACTCTTTCGCCCCTCCTTCCCACCTCCCCCTCCCCTCCCCCCAATCAGGACATAGTGGCATTCTCTGACGGCTTCCCTCTGTCCGAGTCCAGTGTGCACATAGTCGTGGGGGCAAACGGTCACAGCACAGGGGAGGCCTTTGCCTTTCCTCTCCCCTGCCCTCTCCCTCACTCTCTTCCTCTTTCTCTCCCCTCCTCCCCTTCCGCCCTTCCTCCCCCAATCAGGACATAGTGGCATTCTTCGACGGCTTCCCTCTGTCCGAGTCCAGTGTGCATATAGTAGTGGGGGCGGACGGCCGCAGCACAGGCGAGGCGTTTGCGGAGTTTGCGTCGCCGGGCGATGCAGCAGCAGCCATGGGGCGCGACCGGTCGCGCATGGGCACACGCTACGTGGAGCTCTTTGCATCGTCAAGGGAGGAGGCTGCACGGGGCGTGGCCAAGGCAAAGTGAGCTGGTGGGAGCTGGTGAGGGCTGGTGGGGGCTGGTGGGAGCGGCTTGGAGCAGCAGGGCTGACAGCAGTGGGGCACTGATGCGTCACGGGGCGTGGCCAAGGCCAAGTGAGCTGTGCGCTGTTGTGCTGTGCTTTGCCATGCTGGGTGGGAGCTGCTGGGAGGGGCTGGGAGGGGCTGAGAGCAGCAGGGTTGACAGCAGGGCACTAATGCTGCAGTGGCTGGGGGTGCGTGGGCGTGGGCATGGACACGCGCTACTTGGAGTTTTCTGCGTTGTTGTGCGAGGAGGTGGCACGGCGGGCACGGCCAAGGCCACGTGAGCTGTGTGCTGCTGCTGGGAGCTGTCAAACAGGCACAAGTGGGGTAGGGGGCACTGCAGGGAGGGAGCTGGTGAGGTGTGAGCTTCTGCTGTGGGGTTGGGCGACAGGCACGGCAGTGCAAGATACCGGCAGTACTGCATGTGGGGTTGAGGGTCTGGTGCTTGGAGCTCTTTTGGTGGCCAGGGGAGGAGGACGCTGCAAGTGGGGGGTGGTGGGGATGGGGGAAAAGGTTCTGGGATGACTTTTCACACTTGGGCACATGAGGGGTGTCAGGGGGAGGAGGGGAGGGGTGTCAGGGGGAGGGGTGTCAGGGGGAGGGTCTCAGGAGGAGGGTGTGGCGCAGGCCAAGGGAGTGCCTGTGCATTGCAGAACCGCGTGTGGGGAAGGGGGGATTTGTGTGGGGCGTTCGGTGATTGTGCGGGGTGAGGGGTAAAGTGTGGGGAGTGGTTTGTTGGTGGTGGTGGCTTGTCGAGTGTAGGTGGGATAGGGTACTGAAGGAGTGAAAATGGTTTTAGGAAGGAGGGTCGCAGTGAGAATAAGGGATGTTGCCCATTATGGGCCACGCACTCACGGCGTTTTTGCTTTAGGGAGTTTTGAGATACCGGTACTATCTCAAAACTGTAAAACACGTGTGGAATATGTTGGTTTCAATAGGGTTGGTTAAACTAGATAGATTCCGTTGGCCATAAAGAGTTTGGCTGGCGATGGGTGCAAGCTGGGCAATGAGGGCAATTTCCTTGCTGCTGGTTTGGTTTCCCTTAGCAACAGGGGCAAGTACGGTAGTGAGGGCAAGAAGCAGTACCAATGCAAGTGGCATTATGTGGTAGTTAGTTGCTAACGTATGTTGGTGTGGTAGAGGGAGTACTGTATCCTCTACCCCCAAATGCTTGCAAAAGCAGTTAAAGCTCAAGGCCCAAATTGTTCAACCTTTCTAAGGTTGACCGCTGGGCTGTGGGATAGACACTCACAAAACTGGGAGGGGGTGTTGAGCGAGGGGTGTTACACTTTCGCCCAACCCTTCGCTACACTTTCAAGGGGTGGGGGCTTCGTCTTTGGTTTCCGAAGTCCCAAGTTTCAACGTGCTGGTTCACAAGTTTCCTATCAGCAAACCATCAAAATTACTAGTCATGACCTGCGCGATTCGCAATTTGGGACTTGAGCTTTAAAGCTTTCGTATACATTTGAAAAAGGGAGGTTCAAAAGTTTTGAAATTTGAAATATTGGTAACCCAGAAACAGCTAGTTTCACTCGCTTCACAAGGGAGGTGATCTCCCCGTCACCCAGGGCTCACTGGTGATTCAAAACTTTTGGAATAACAAAAGTATACGAAATCCAGTCCATGTGAGATCTACGCCACTACGCTCAACAGGCAGCATAAATCGTAGCAAAGCACATCGCGACAACAGCCAGCGCAAATCACTCCCGTTTCCGACACAAACTTAGACGCGTGGGGCAGTTTAGTGTAATTACACGTCCGAGCCAACGTCAGTTCCGCCCTCTAACACGGCGAGCCCGCCGGACCCCTTCTCACAGCCTCGCCTCGTCGTCCGTCGCGTTGCCTCACCACGCGGCCTCCTCACGCCACCATGAACGCGCACGCTGCGTCTCAAACTGCCGAACACGCACGATCACAGTCGCTTCCCGATCGCGCGACCTCGCTACCACGTTTCCGCAGTAGCGGCGGCAGCCGCAATTGAGGTGTCGCGAGGGTAATCAGAAACGATTGCTCCCCATTACCTCTTCCCGCCTCCCCGTTTCCCCTTCCCGCCTCCCCAATTCCCCTTCCCGACACCCCATTTCCTCTTCCCGCTCCCCATTACCCCTTCGCGCCTCCTCGTTTCCCCTTCCCGCTCCCCATTACCCCTTCCTGCCTCTGCAATTCCCCTTCCCGCCACCCCATTTCCTCTTCTCGCTCCCCATTATCCCTTCCCGCCTCCTCGTTTCCCCTTCCCGCTCCCCATTACCCTTTCCCGCCTCCCCAATTCCCCTTCCCGCTCCCCATTACCCCTTCCCGCCTCCCCAATTCCCCTTCCCGCTCCCCATTACCCCTTCTCGCCTCCCCAATTCCCCTTCCCGCTCCCCATTACCCCTTCCCTCCTCCCCGTGACCCCTTCCCGCTTCCCCATTACCCCTTCCCACTCCCCATTTCCCCTTCCCGCCTCCCCAATTCCCCTTCCCGCCTCCCCGCTTCCCCTTCCCACTCCCGATTATCCCTTCTCGCCTCCCTTCTCAAACTGCCGAACACACATCACAGTCGCCGCCCGATCGCACAGCCTCGCTACCACGTTTCCGCACTAGCCGCGGCAGCCGCACTCTCATTTCCCCCCTTGCAGACTCTCATTTTCCCCCTTGCTCACTCTCATTTCCCCCCCATGCTCTCCCTCATTCCTCCCCCCTTCTCCCTCTCATTCCCCCCATGAAGCCCCTCATCCCCCCCTTTCTCCCTCTCATCTCCCCCCCTGCTCCCTGTCATGTCCCCACCTTCTCTCTCTCATGTCACCCCCTTCTCCCGCTCATTCCCCCCCATTCTCCCTCTCATTTCTTCCCCTTCCCCCTCTTATATCTCCCCCTACTCCCTCTCATTCCCCCCATGAAGCCCCTCATTCCCCCCCTTTCTCCCTCTCATCCTCCCCCCTGCTCACTGTTATGTCCCCCCTTCTCTCGCTCATGTACCCCCCTTCTTCCTCTCATTTCCCCCCCTTATCCCTCTCATTCTCCCCCCTGCTCCTTCTCATTCCCCCCTTAACCACTCAGTTAAATGCCACATAACCTCCCTCTCATTTCCCCGCATTCCCCCCCCCTTCCCCCTCTCGTTTCCCCCCATCTCCCTCTCCTTTCCCCACGTGCTCCTTCTCATTCCCCCCCCCTTCTCCATCTCGTTTCCCCCCCGCTCATTTCCCCCCATCTCCTTTCATTTTCCCCCCTTCTCCCTCTCATATGCTTCTAACCCCTACCGTACCCTTGGATGATCGCATGCCATACTCATCCATCCGCTGCCATACACCGCCACACCCTTCCATCTCCTCCCATACCCTTCCATACGCCAGCCAAGCCCGTCCCTCATTCTGCCATACCTTGCCATACTCTGCCATACCTTTCCTTCCCTAGCGTAAGTGTACCATTCCCTTCCATACCCCAGCCATACCCATCCATCCCCTGTCATACCCTTCCATTCCCTTCCATACCCTTCCATACCTTCCATTCCCTTCCATACCCTTCCATTCCCTTCCATACCCTTCCATTCCCTTCCATACCCTTCCATTCCCTTCCATACCCTTCCATACCTACCATTCCCTTCCATACCCCAGCCATACCCTTCCATACCCTTCCATTCCCTTCCATACACTTCCATTCCCTTCCATACACTTCCATTCCCTGCCATTCCCTTCCATTCCCTGCATTCGTGCACAGGCATATGACTAGTCACGTGATTGGTATCGAAGAATCCAGGGTTGGGTGATAAAGGTTATGTATATAGTGATACAATTGTAAGGACTTTTTTTATAAAACATGTTGTGAGGCTACGAGCTTGATTTTGGTCCTGAAGTGCCAAAAATGTACTAGAGTTGGGAGTGTATGCATGCTTCTTGAATCACAAGTGCATAGTAATAAATACGCAGGGAGCTGCCGCACAAGTTGGCGGCTGCTGTTGTATGCCTGGCGTTGGTGTGCAGCAGAGGGGAGCGATGCATTGTGTGCTGCTTGGTGGACCTGCCGGTGAGAGGAGTGGGGGGGGTCAGGGCTGAGAAAGGGACGAGGAAGGGGAAAAAGAAGGCACATATCAGGGTGAGCTCAACCAAAGCCTGGAGAGAGTGCCCTTAGTCATCCAAGTGGCGTGAAAACGGTTGTCTAGGCAAGTCCCAAGGCATGCGATGGGACGCGCACAGTACCTGAGAGGCGTGAACGATGGGACAAAACTTGAGATGAGTCGAGCTCGCTTGCACGCACCATCTGCCGCAACAGCCTCGCTACCTCCTCCTTCTCCCTCTCCCTCCGCCTCGCTTCCTCATCGAGCCTCACACCCTGCTCGCTCCCCAGTCCACTGCTGACATGGCTGCTTCGATAGTGTGCACCCAGCGTGAGAGACCCCGCATGCTGCATCTCCTGCGGCTTGCGCACTCATGAGCGCGCTCGGCTGTGAGACCGCAGCAGGGCTCACTCGCTCTTGGTTCTGCTGTTGCTGCCCATGCACCTGCCGCTGTTCTTGCAAGATCATCCCAGCTCCAACTCCTCGTGGGAGCTGCTGCTACATTTGCTCCACAAATGCTAGGTCCAGTAGGAGCTCAATCCGCAGGAGCAGAAGTATGGTCAGAACCGGGGCAGTTGCAGAGTCACACGGGTTGGGGCCAACAGCCGGCGTCGGCAGTCCATAGTCAAAGGAGTGGGGCGAACAATCCTCCCCACTGGCTGCTCCTCGCCTCATGTCTCCTCCTCCTCCACCATGCCTTCCCCTCCTTTCCTGAGCTACCTCCTGCTCCGGGGGGAACACCAAAGGAAGGAACACTGGGTGTGGCAGCAGAGGCAGCTCCGGCAAAGGCAGCAGCGGCGGCAGTATGGGCAGGGACTGAAGGAGCGAGTGGGATCTCATGGGAGGTGAGATGACCCTGGAAGGAGGGGGGATGAGAAATTAAGGCATGGCGATGGGAGAGCGTGGAAGGGAGAATGGAAGGGAAATGAGAGGGAGGAGGGGGAGAGATGAGAGGAGCAAGGGGGGAAATGAGAGGGAGGAGGGGGAGAGATGAGAGGAGCAAGGGGGGAAATGAGAGGGAGGAGGGGGAGAGATGAGAGGAGCAAGGGGGGAAATGAGAGGGAGGAGGGGGAGAGATGAGAGGAGCAAGGGGGGAAATGAGAGGGAGGAGGGGGAGAGATGAGAGGAGCAAGGGGGGAAATGAGAGGGAGGAGGGGGAGAGATGAGAGGAGCAAGGGGGGAAATGAGAGGGAGAGGGGGAGAGATGAGAGGAGCAAGGGGGGAAATGAGAGGGAGGAGGGGGAGAGATGAGAGGAGCAAGGGGGGAAATGAGAGGGAGGAGGGGGAGAGATGAGAGGAGCAAGGGGGGAAATGAGAGGGAGGAGGGGGAGAGATGAGAGGAGCAAGGGGGGAAATGAGAGGGAGGAGGGGGAGAGATGAGAGGAGCAAGGGGGGAAATGAGAGGGAGGAGGGGGAGAGATGAGAGGAGCAAGGGGGGAAATGAGAGGGAGAGGGGGAGAGATGAGAGGAGCAAGGGGGGAAATGAGAGGGAGGAGGGGGAGAGATGAGAGGAGCAAGGGGGGAAATGAGAGGGAGGAGGGGGAGAGATGAGAGGAGCAAGGGGGGAAATGAGAGGGAGGAGGGGGAGAGATGAGAGGAGCAAGGGGGGAAATGAGAGGGAGGAGGGGGGGAGATGAGAGGAGTAAGGGGGGAAATGAGAGGGAGGAGGAGGGGAAATGAAGGGGAGCAGTGGGGGAAGTGAGAAGGAGCAGGAGGGGAAATGAGGGGGAGCAGTGGGGGAAGTGAGAAGGAGCAGGAGGGGAAATGAGGAGGAGCAGGCTGGGAAATGAGGGGAAGAATGGGGGGAATGAGGGGGAGAAGGGTTAGAACTGAGAGGGAGAAGGGGGGAAAATGAGGGAGAGAAGGGGGGAAAATGAGGGAGAGAAGGGGGGAAAAATAGGGGGAGAAGGGGGGGAAAGGAGGGGGAGAAGGGAGGCAAGTGGAGAGGGAGTAGGGGGGGTTGTGAGGGGGAGAAGGGGGGAGGGGGGGTAATTAGAAGAGGATGCGCTTAGCGGGAGAGGCGCTATGCGGGCGCTAAGCGGGAAAGGCGCGCAGCGGGTGCGGCGCTAAGCGGGAGAGGGTGAGGCGACACGCGGGAAAGGCGCACAGGGGGTGAGGCGCGAAATGAGAGAGGCGCGCAGCGAGTGATTCGTTGCGCGGGAGAGGCGCGCAGCGGTTGCGGAGCTAAGCGGGAGAGGCGCGCAGCGGGTCAGGCGCTAAGCGGGAAAGGCGCGCGGCGAGTGATACGCTAAGCGGCATGGCGCGCAGAGGGTGAGGCGCTAAGCGGGAGAGCTCCCAGCATTGGAGGCGGTAAGCGGGAGACCCGCGCAGTGGGTGAGGCGCTAAGCGGGAAATGCCTACCGAGCGGGTGTTGAGAGTGGCGGCGTGGCCAACGCATGGAACGATGCGATCCCGCCGTCGGCTCCGTAATTTTCAATCGGCTTACTCGATCGCACCTACCCAGCGTGGTGATGCAACCCGTCGAGGCGCCCTTGACAGGGCTTCGACGGGGCCCATCAATGCAGCACGACGCGCTCGACGAATGCAGAGCCTTTCCCTCTCCGATTGCCGCTGAACGGCGCAGCAGTGGAAAGGAGCTGGCGTGCAAGCTAGATGTATTTTCCCACTCGCACAAGCCTATAATGTTACCTAAACTCATCTCACATGAGAATATCTGAGCGGTGTCGATGCTCCGCATGTTCTTTGTCGCGCCCCGGTTCCTCTATCTATGCTTAGCGTATGTTAGTCACATATCATGGTTCCTAGTGAAATCTGACTCCAAGGTTGGGTGACGGGGGAGTTTCCTGTGTTTGGAACTCCTCAAAGCTGCAATTTTTCGCCAAACCTCTCGCCACGCTCAGTTGTTTCGTTCTGGCGAATTTTTCCCTGGCTACAGTGCAAGTCCAAACAGTACTTGCAAATGTATACGAAAGCTTTAAAGCGACAGTGCACATTTGCCACCCAAAACCCAGAACCCTGGCGAACTGTTACTGCGGATGGAAAGTGTCCGCACGAAATCCTGGTTTTCGCCAGCCAGCACTTTCGCGCTGGCAAGCCTGGTTCAAAAAAAAAACTTCTGAACCCAACACTGCCAAAAGTTGCCCGTCGCTTTAAGTGTCAACTTCCTGTTACTGTATTCTCAGTGGCATTGGGTCTGTTTGGTCTGGATAGGAGTGAAATTCCTGTTTTTTTTTATAGCAGGCTGCATATCGTCATGCATACGGTATAATATTCTCCACTTATGATTCAAACAGATCACTTTTCAAGGACTTCGTATGGTACTTCAGCCAGTAATAAACCAACAAGCCCATGAGCGGTGTAACCAGACTAGAATACAAACAATACACAAAAACAGTACAACAGATTTACTCTCCTGTAGCTTAGGAGCTACAGTAACAGTTCGAGTTCAGTAGAGGAGTTCCGATAGCATCCTCTCCCCACCCCACCCCACCCACCCATGCCATAAACCAACAGTACATGCCCCACCCAACACAGAGCAGAAAAGTCAGAAGTTGGTGCAGGAGGGGCCTTTTAGACGTGTCTAAGGTCAGCAGATGAGACGGAAGGCGTAGGTGGTGGAGAAGGTGGGATCAAAGACTTTAACCGGTAGGTTGCCCGACTCGTCCCTCTGACTCGCACACGCCTGGCTGCTGAAGAGCTTACAGCGACCTGATGGGAGGGAGGAGAGGCGAAAGATTGGGAAGAGAGGGAGGAAAGAGAAGAGAATGGGAGAGAAGATGGTGAACGAGTGAGGGAGGAGTGGGGTAGTGAGGGTGTTGAGTGACAGACAGCGGGCCTGATGGGGTAGAGGCGAGAGAGGAGAACAAGACACACGCACGCAGGATGGGATGGAATGGATCCAGGGAGCGAGAGGAACGAGGAGAGAGGGAACAAAGGCACAAGCATGGAGAGAGAGTTGGGTGGCTCTGAAGAGAGGTAACGTAATGAAAGTTTAGGTGGTTCTGCATGAAGCATGAAGCGATACGCGGGTTCGGCGGTAAGCATGGCGCAATGCAATTCTGGTTGACAAAGATTCATTCGCCACTTCCCCCCCCCCCCCCCTGCTCCCCCTCTCTCTCAGACCCCCACTTGCCCCTCCACACCACACCTTCCGCGTCTTACTCAAATCTAGGGACGTCTTTAAACTCACCGGAGTCCGTCGAGTCGCTCTGTTCCCACGACCAGTACGTCACGTCGTACATGAACTGCGATGCGGCGTACTCGCAGCACTCGCCGATGCTCTTCAGCCCCGCGTCCTCCACCAGAGTCGGCCCCGTCGCCTGCGAGTAGTGCTCGTACAGCTTCCCGCGAAACGCGCCGGGAAACGCGGGGCCCTTCGAATCCGTGATGTCCGGAAGATCGACGGCGGACGGGCAGGCAGGCAGGCACGGGAACGCGGGGCAAGTCGTGTTGTACCGCTTCACGCTGCCGCCGCTTTTGGCGCTGCTGTCCCCGCTGCTGGTGGAGTCGGTCCCTGCGAGAGGTTCACCGGCAGACGCGCTGCCGGCGCCGGTGGAGCTGGAGCTTGTAGCGAGGCAGCGCTTAAAGGAGACAACGCCGGTACTGGTGTCGGGCTGCCACTTGTTGACCTTTGCGAGGGACTTGTGCGTCGAGCACTGGTCAGCGCCGAAGAGACTGCAGATTCCTGAGGTAGCAATGGCCGCACGGGCCGGCGGGAAACGCGGTAGCAATGGCGAAAGGGGTAGGGAGGAAGGCGGGAAAGAGGTACGGGATGGGGGTCGAAAGGGGTGTGGAGAGGTTTTTAGACGGGAGTGACTGTAAGGCGTGAGTTGAGGGGCTATAGACAGATGGGCGATACGGTGGGCGCGGATGGAAAGGAGGCGGAGAGAGGCGCCTGGACAAATTGGGGGAAGGTCGTGAGGGCGGTGGAAGGCGGGGAGGCGGAAGGCGAGAAGCGGGAAGCGGAAGGCAGTACACGGATGGCAGAGGGGGAGAGGGCGGAAGAGGAGGGAGGGGAGGTGGGGGGGTGGGAAGGGGGAGGGGAGGAGGGAGAGGAAGGGAAGGAAGGGGGGGTGGGGCGATGGGAGGGAAGGGAGGGAAAAGGGAGAGAGGAGGGGGGAGGAAGGAAGGGGGGGAGGGGGTGACGCTATGAGTGAGTTACCTGTGTTGCTTTTCTTGTTCTTCTTCCACGTCCAGTACGCGCAATCCTCGCGCTCGCTGCACGACACGCAGCACCGATTGATCGTCACGGCCGCCGTCTTCTGCGACGGGTTCAGCAGCGTCGCAGTCGACTTCTTGTTGGTCAGCGACGCGTGTGCGACGAAACTGCCCTTGAGAACTCCCAGTAACTCAGAGCTCTTCGGCTGGAACACGGCCGAGGAGGAGGAGGAGGAAGAAGAAACGACGGAGTCGGAAGGGCAAACGGGGCATTCGTTGATCTTGCTAGGGCATGATTTCGACGGGCCTGCGAGCGCGCCAACAGCCGCGAACAGACACGCGAGCGCGGCTCGCAGGACAAGACCCGGCGCCATTACTCGCGGCGTGAGGAGGGAGGGGATGACGACGAGGACCCGCAACCAGACGGGAGGCGAGGGCGGGAAGTTTAGGGTACTTTGCGGTGTGAGAGGGTGAGCGTGGAAAAGGAGTAGGAAACGGTCAACAGTAGGAGACTACTCAAGCATTCTCGGCTATTGCGAAGGACCGCACCGCGTGAGAACGGAGAAATATAGCTAACGAGGAGATTATGTATGAACTAGTGGACGAGACCAGGTGGGTCTAAGGGGAGGCAGAACTGGCAAGCATTATCGTGATCTGCGACTCTGCGCTCTGCACTAGTTGTGCTTCAGGGCTGTGTGGTGTCGTGGTGAAGGCGCAGGTGTGGGATGAAAGAGACATACAGTACCATCAACAGCAGGCAGGTATTGAGCCTAAGGTAAGGAGGTGTACGGGGCGCAGCAGCACAGCTACAGTGCAGGAGCTGTGATTGCGGGGATGGGGAGAGGGAGGGAGCGGAACGGAACAAAACAGAGGCAGCGCGGACCTCGAGGATGGATGCCTTGTTGGCGGATACAGAACGCGTTCCCCCAATCGGCCGCGGGGAAGGGATGTACGAAAATGCGGAGGTGGGGGGACGAACAGAGGGGTGTGTGTGTGCAAGGAGAAAGAAAATCGTGCTTCCTAGCACAGTGTGGTACCGATTACACACGATCCATCACCGCGCATCATCGTATTGTAACGTACAAACGCGTTCACACTCCCCAATAAATTCAGTTTCGAAACCAACATTGAGCATCGAAAATTCATCGCAATCCCTGTGCCAATCCAACCTCTGCGTTTCGTCACTTGTGTTGCGACGGTCGCAGCAGCCACTTCCCCACTTCCGCAGCTGCTCTCAACCGTCCGCGATACTGTAATCCGCGCAGGGTCCCCAGCTGTGTTGGCGCATATCCACTCCCAGTGACACTGCAACCCCCGCAACAGTTACACTTGCTTTGAAAAACAGGTCCGTTAGGAGCCTAACTAGAGTAGCCTAGCTGATCTGGCGGGTGTTCATTGGATTTAACTTCCTAACCTAGTCAGCAGCTGCTCGGGGCACGGAGAACTGTTTCAGGGCGTGTGTCGTGGGGGATAGAATCACGCGACGCGCAGATAGTGGGCTCTGTGTTGTCAGGTGCCCAAATGGCTCAGGTGTTCGTAATAACAGACGGTCTTGTGATTGAAACTCATGGTGCTTCCAGCAACAACAGTAGTTTCTGCAGTTGTTTAATGTTTCCAGGTTGCAATATATCAGAGCAGAGTTGATAAACATAAAGTGAACAAACTCAAACTCAATTCCCTATCATTCTGAAGCTTCCCCTACTCGCCTCGCCACCCTTCGCAAACCTAACTTCAACTTCAGTATATGAAATTTAGCCATTATAGACTCGGGCTTAAACCTCTAGATGGACCCTTGGTAAACAATCATGATCTAATTTACAATGTCTACACATTATCAGGAAAAAACTCCCGATACAGCCACTGCTGCAACATCTGCTCATTCTCTGCTTGCTGCCCTGTCTTCTGTTTCTTTTGTCGCCGCCTTGCACTTCTACTCTTGCCCCCATCGGCATCAGAAGCACTAGCGCCAGCCCCAACATCAAGATCATTGTCAAGAGCAGCAGTGACGGCACGGGAGAAGCCTGGGTCAGCAACACCAGTTGTGGCTTGTGCAGTGTGTGGTTGGCCGACCCCAGGGCGGGGTGTGTGAGAGAGAGTAGGGGCTGACTGAGACCGCGAGGAGAAGGGGAAGTGTGAAGAGGAGGGACCGCCAAGACCAACCTTGTCGAATTTGAGCGACGGGGGGACTGGATCGAGACGACCCTGTGGAATCATATGATATGAGAGATGAACGCACAACCAGATGGTGTGTGGTGGAGGGTGAGAGGTGAGAGGTGCAAAATAGAACAACAGGTCCAGTAACCAAGGGCAAGGAGTGTGCTTCTACTTGCAGGTTGTTTGATCAACCCCGCCCAATGCCTTCCCTTCCTCCCACCCTCTCCCCCCCTTCCCGTCCCACAACCCCTCATTCTACCTCCACCACTATTTCTCCCCCCCACACGCACACACAGATGCTCACCCAAAACCACCTATCTCCAGCGAACACACCTGTTCTGCAACTCCCAGCCCTCGACCCTCATGCCAGCCAGCCTTTTGAAGCAGCTGCAGAGGCAACAGCGCAAGGAACACAAGGGATGCGGAGAAGCAAGCGACGACGATGGCGAGACAGGCGGACACAGCCCAGAAACGAGCACGTGAGGAGCTGCGCAATGGTATACATGGCAACGTTTGGCGGTTCCATAACAGTTGACTTGATTCATCACAAAAGGTACAGAAGCAGAGGCATAGCATGTGCATCCCCAGCCACAGTGCACCCACACACCTGGTACCCTATGTTGGAAGGTGGAATCTCAGCCCCAACCCGCTTGTTTTGAACACCGCTCCTTCCTCCACCTCCCAGCTGCTTACCCCCCCTCCCTTTTCCCTGCCTTTCCTCCCCTCTCGGCGCCTCAATGTTCCCCAACAGGGCCGCGATCCCCAGGTCCTCACCTCCCTTACCTCCTCCTCCTCCTCCTGCCCACCCGCCACCATCCCCACCGCTTGGCTCCCCTCCCCTCCATGCCCACGACCCACTTCCCCCTTCTGACCCGCCGCCAGAAGATACAGGGCGTGCCCCGCCGTCGTCTCTCGTCCCGAATCCTAGCCCTAGAGCCTCTCCGTTTCCGGCATCCCCGCCAAGATTCCCCGCATCTCGTTCCGCTGCCTCCCCTCTGCGAATGGAACCAGGAAAGGGATTATATGGTAGTGGAAAAAAAAACGGCATCCGGAAAGGGGCGAGTGGGGCGAGAGAGCAGAAGTTGCTTGGCTGTATGGTTTAGCCAGGCATGAGTGAATCAGCAATCGCAAACATCAGACGACACAGAGCGGCAACTGAAGCACCGATTTTGCTGCAAGACAAGGGAGAGGCCAACGAACCGAGAGCGCTTCATCGGAGTTGGTTTGAGGCACTCTCAAGGGAAACTATCGGCGACATGGTGTTCCCGCGGGTTCCGCAGCCCTCGGCGTGAACTAAAAGCCTGCTGTTACGAGGATTTTGATTGGATTGCGTACCTACGATATTTACATATTTCTGGTCCATTAATATTTTAAAACCCGCGTCTCATATTTTCTACGGTATTACACTTGGTTGGGCTAAAGCACCTGTGATTGGGTTACGAGCGGCGAAATTTGTGACGAGCAGTTTGAAATACACGGACGAAACGTCAGTTCGTCCAGTCAAAGCCAAACGAACCCCTCAGGCATGGAAAGCTACCACACCTGAAAAACGTACCTGGCAGAATCGCACTTGCGTGCGACCAACCAAAACGGCTAGACACAAATCGCCCACCTTTACCAGGAAAAGCAGATCAAGACACTCGGCTGTGATACTTCCGCTAGTAAGATGCTGACGGACTGCACATAAACATGGCTTACGCAGTCTATTAGATCGCGTTTCGGAGATCGGTGAATTGCGAACATGTATGGTAGGGGATAACGCAGATTAGGAAATGCCATGCTTCAATAGTTTCAGCGAGAGGTCACGACCTACGCTCGCAGTCGCGATTGCCTAACAGGGGCGCGACGGCCATCTACGGCAAGCGAAGGAATCGCTCACCCCCAGGTCCATCGCTCACCCCCAGGTCCATCGCTCAACCGCAACTTCACCCCAAGATCCACCGCGAATGGCGGAATTGGTTTAGGTTTTAGAGCGGAATTGGCGAGACGCGAGGAGCGGAATCGGCGAGACTCGAGGAGCGGAATCTGCCCTACGCGACGAGGTGGCTTCGCCATATCGCAGCAGCTCCTCCTGTAGCCCCGCCGACCTCATGCGGTGAATCGAGGTCTGCGGTGTGCGCGTGTGTGGGGTGGCGCTGGTGAACAATGAGCGGGAGGGCGAGCAGATGTACCGCGCGGGGGGAATCAAACGGTGGAGATATCGTGGAGAGTGGCACCACTCGGTCTTCCTGCTGCACACTACCTCCACCTACCACATTCGCAAGGCCGCTGCAGGTATGCTGGGGGAACAGTGCGGGGGTGGTGGGGTTGGGGGGAGATTCAGGGGAGAGTGGGGTAGGAAGAGGCCACGTGGGTGTGTAGCCTAGAGATGGGCAAGGGTGAGGGTAAGGGTGGGTGTGTGGGGGAGGGCATCACGTGCCCACGCGCACCAGCAGCCTGCAGTGCCCCTTCCTCCCACTCTACCCGTCCCCGACTGTCTCCTCACCTGTTTGCCCTACTGTGTGCCCTCCTGAGTGCCGTCAACTTATCTCCGCGCTGCTTCCTCAGCATGTCCTCTTTTAATCCCGCCCCCCTTCCCTCTCTCCCCTCTCCTACCCACTATCCCCTTCCCTCTCTCCCCTTCCCTCTCTCCTCCTTCCGCCCGCATCTGTTCTCAGGTCAGCCCATCCACTCAATCAGCAGCTCGCTCCACTACCACCCCTCCACCCACCCATTCCCTTCCCCAGCTGCCACACTCGCTGTGTGATTAAATGTAGTCCTCCCACTTCTCCCACACCTCCTCTCCTCGGACTCCAACCCACCAGCTCTCCCACCATCCCGCACTCGCCTCCCCTATTTCGCCCCCTTCTTATTCCGAGTGGAAACATTTTGCTGCCTTTCAAGAACCTTCTCCACGTTCCTTTCGCTATGATTGCTGCCCCCTCCTCCTCCCCTCCTCTCCCTGTTAACCCAACCTCACCCCCCTCCTCCACCAACATCCCTCATCTCCTGCTCGCCATCGGGCTCGAAGAGGAGGAATAGGGTAGCGGGGGGAGGTGAGGGTTGGGACAGGGCTGCGGCAACATTTGATGTTAGAGAGTGGGGAGAGGGGGGTGGAAGAGAAGGGGGAGGGGGAGCGGGAGGGGGAGGTGGGGAAGGTGAGTGCTGTGGTGGCGGCCATGAGTGTGGAAAGCCCTTTCCTTCTCCATCTGCCCTCCTTTTTTTTCATTTCCCCTACTATGCCATCCCATCTCCTGTCCCGTCCCTTCTCATCTCCTCTCCCGTTCTTCTCATCTGCCGTCCCTTCCTTCCCATCTTGCGTGCCAACCTCCCTTCCTTCCATCACCCCTACCCTCTTTTGTTCTCCCCGTCCCCCCTTCCTACCACCTTTCACATCTCAACTGCCCTTTTTCTCATCCCTAGATCCCTCCTTCCTCCCGCCACCTCTCCCTTTGTTCCAGCTACAAGCAGGACTAAGCTAGTCCCAGGCCAGCCTGGCTGAACGGAAGGGACAGGCAAGCAGCAGATGCACGACCAAATGCACGAAGGCCAGACCGGCGCTAGAGGATAGTTGTACCCCATATCTTCAAGATATTACTCAACTGTATACATTCAATAAGTTCATTCAGTGCTGTACTCAATTGCACCTTCAAAGATGGATGCATTGAAGCAATCTGAGAATCAACTGTAATATGCTATTGAGAGTCAAGAGACTAGGAGAGTTTGGCAAGCCTACTTTGCGAACAACTGAGTTTTTATTCTACGCATTAGTTACAAAACTAAGGATGAACTGGTTCTTTGTGGCGCCATGCTGAAACAAGCACATCAACAGGTGGGCGGGAAGTGGGGAAGCAGAGGGGAGACAAGTGGGGAAACTGAGGTGAGGCATGGGAGGAAACTGAGGTGAGGCATGAGAGGAAACTGAGGTGAGGCATGGGAGGAAACTGAGGTGAGGCATGAGAGGAAACTGAGGTGAGGCATGAGAGGAAACTGAGGTGAGGCATGAGAGGAAACTGAGGTGAGGCATGGGAGGAAACTGAGGTGAGGCATGAGAGGAAACTGAGGTGAGGCATGAGAGGAAACTGAGGTGAGGCATGAGAGGAAACTGAGGTGAGGCATGAGAGGAAACTGAGGTGAGGCATGAGAGGAAACTGAGGTGAGGCATGAGAGGAAACTGAGGTGAGGCATGAGAGGAAACTGAGGTGAGGCATGAGAGGAAACTGAGGTGAGGCATGAGAGGAAACTGAGGTGAGGCATGAGAGGAAACTGAGGTGAGGCATGAGAGGAAACTGAGGTGAGGCATGAGAGGAAACTGAGGTGAGGCATGGAAGGAAACCGAGGGTGTGTATGAGATGAGGGAACGGGAAAGGGGGATGAGGGAAAGGGAAAGGGGGATGCGGGAAAGGGAAAGGGGGATGCGGGAAAGGGAAAGGGGGATGCGGGAAAGGGAAAGGGGGATGCTGGGAAGGGAAAGGGGGATGCTGGGAAGGGACGAGGATGCTCTCCTCCTGTCCCTCTCTCGTCGCGTCCCCTCCTCTCTCGTCGCGTCCCCTCCTCTCTCGTCGCGTCCCCTCCTCTCTCATCGCGTCCCCTCCTCTCTCGTCGCGTCCACTCCTCTCTCGTCGCGTCCCCTCCTCTCTCGTCGCGTCCCCTCCTCTCTCGTCGCGCCCCCTCCTCTCTCGTCGCGTCCCTAACTCTCTCGCCGCGTCCCTAATTCCCTCGTCGCGTCCCCTACTCGCTCGTCAGGTCCCCTCCTCTCTCGTCGCGTCCCCTCCTCGCTCGTCGCGTCCCCTCCTCGCTCGTCGCGTCCCCTCCTCTCTCGTCGCGGCGACGATTGCGGTGAGGCATGAGAGGAAACTGAGGTGAGGCATGGAAGGAAACCGAGGCTTCCCGTCCCTTTCCGTCGGCGCGTGTGCTCCCGTTTCCTGTCGCCAGTCCCGTTCCTGGGGCGTCGCTTCCCCTCCTTCCCCGTCCCGTCATATCCTGTCCGCTTCTCTCCCCTCTCACCTTATCCCGTCCCGTCCCGTCCCCTCTCGTCTCGTCGCGTCCCTCCTTCCACGTTTCGTCCCGTCCCGTCGTAACCAATACCGTCCCTTCCAATCCCCTCGCGTCCTTTCCCATGCGGTCGCGTCTTCCCGTATTCTTCCTTCCGTAATTCATCGTCCCGTTTTGTGCGCTGGTCAGCTATTGCTACGCTCTCTCTTCTACTAAACTATGGTGCCGCTTTCCCCTCCTGTGGTTAGCGCAGCAATCGGCTGTACGATCCTCCCTGTCGATCGAGGGTCCGTACGTACGCAGATCTGCGTGAAATGCCATGAACAGGCTCAAACCCTAAACTAAGTCGTTGAAAAAAAAAACTAAGTAGTGGTTGTGTGGAGGTCACTCTCCTCTCCAGCTGCATCCGGATTGATCTGGAGTCTCGTATTTTTCTGCTGTGGTATTACGCTTGCTTTCTCTGTGTTGCCAACCTTCGTCGCACAACGTGGTGTGTTTCTCGCAAAAACGGTTGGGCAGTCGTGCATCTGCCTTGCCCAACCTGATGGGCCTGCAACCAATCACAGGTGCTCCCAACGGAACCCAACAAAGTTGCGACTGGTTTGAGTGGTAACTCGGTTTCGAGCGTATTACTCTTGGTTGGATGGAAGAAATATGAGACGCGGGTTTTAAAGAAGGCGTGATCCTCAAAGAGTTCCATTCTTACACAATCGAGAGTGCCTGTAAGCAAAACAGTTTCTTGCACAATCAATAGTGCATCACACGTCCAATTCGTCTTTAGCTGCAAAATCAAAGCCCAATCTATAATGGTTATGTGATCCCAATCTACAACTCACAACACATATAGAATGTTGTTTGTGAATCTTAATCACCTGCTTTTATGTGAAGAATGTCACAACCGGAGACAGCAAACAAAACAACACAGGGGGCAAGTGGGGGTACACTACCACCAACTTCCACTCGTGCAGCCGCAATTGCTGAGGGCGTGTCTGAAGTGCAAACGTCAAGTTTCGTCAATTTTCGTCGACGAAACTCATCCGTGGGATCCACGCGTGTTGGTGTTTGAAGTGCAGCCTGACATCCCTCGACGAAACTCGACGTTCGTACACATGTCGAGGGATGTCGAACAGTGATACCGGGCAGCTGTTCGAGTCACTGTGGTCGGTGAGTGATTCAAAAACAATTCCCCGACACGCCATGTCTGCATAGCTGCTAGCAAACACATGTGACTAAGAACTAAGAAGAGAGCGTCACGTGCCTGTGATATTTCGCTGACAATGTGATAGTAGAATATCCGGTGTTACCATCACCAATCTATGCTAAGCGAAATTCGCGAGATTACAATCAATTGAGTTGCATTAATGATTCTGTTAATTCCACGTTGGATTTTCATGGGCAACTTATAACAGTGTTCCTATGGCACGTGTGGGTTATTTTGTCGTGTGGGTGTCTGAAGTGCACAAAGCTGAAAACGGATGTCGTCGAGTTTCGTCGAGGAACGTCGAGAAACTTTCGTCGGCAAACGTCGAAATTCACTTCAGGGCCCAGTTCGGCAGGCATTATGGCCATTATCGCCATTATGGGCATTTTTAACGGGGCCCCAAAAAATGGCGCCCGGGCATTTCCAGAAACAACTTTGAAATCGGACTGTAGCTGCGGTGCACCTTCAAAAAAATGGTATGAGTGTTCCGTTGGCATTGATTGGGTGTAGGGCCCTGTTTTGTTGACGCGCAGGCCATTCGCAGCTGCCGCACAGGTACTGCGGACATCGTTTTCCTCGAAAGGAAGAGAGGGCCTGCAGCCTCGTCGAAGGGTTTGCTAATCGACAAAATTACGAACTTTTTTCTCCCGTGTGCCCGAAAAAATGTTGTTACACACTGCCATGGCACTCTTTCAATGTCAAAATTTCGCGAACCGATGCACTGGATGTGGCAGTCTTACTAATTAGCCGTTGGATTGTTTTTTAGGTGAGTATTCCACCGAAACAATACCCCAAAACGGGCGTTTATATCTGCCCGTTATTTGTTGTGCGTCTCTTCAATCCCCCCTCGACGAGCGCATAGGGCTCGCACAGGCCATGCGGGAAATTTGCCTGTGAAACCAAGCTCGTGGAAATTTCTCAGCGCACAGAGAGTTCAGCGTTCTTGCGTACGCATGAGTAATGCGCGCACAACTCCCGCACCAGAGGTTCGGAAGACAATAACGAGTTGGGAGGCTCGACATGGGCTTTAAGCATTGTTATGCGCATTCGGAGAATGCTCAACGCTAGGGCTGAGCACCCCTTATGCGCCAACAGAACAGGGCCTAGATTGATGGCATCAATCTAGATTTCGGGTTTCGCAGAAGATGCTAGGGAGTTGCCCTGATGGATCGCGTGAACATGTGATTGGCTGACATATTTGACGAGTCACTTTTGATTGCCCCGAATCACCGATACCCCGCATGGTGCGGGGCCTCGAGGCCGCATGGTGCGGCGGATCAGAAAATGGGCACTTTGCCAGAGAAACTGGGTTCGTGGAAGATTCGGGCAGTTGAAAACGCCTGCAAAAAAAAGGGTGTTCGGGAGGCATTCCATTATTGTCAGGTTCGTAGATCCGCTTATATCGAGCCTCGATAACCATTCACTCGATTATCAAGGAAGGTTCAAGGGTGGTCGTTTCACTGTAGCCCATCCCCCGAGGCCATTTTTTAATGCCTACCGAACTGGGCCCAGACACGGGACCAAACCAAACCACAAACAGTGCATCATTCTTGCCGCCGCAGCAGCACTTTTCTATCGCTCAAAGGTGCTTATCAGCTCTTTGCCATTGCCTTATCTTCCGGAAACGTTCTCATGTCCGAGGGGAGCATCATTTCAGGGTTTCTGCGCTCCTTTCCCTCCCCTCCCTCGCCTGGTTTTCTGCGGATGGACTTCGTCAATCTCGGAGCACCGTCACGAACCCGAGCCTATCCAAGCCACGCACAACTGGTTCAGCAGAACCTGTCGAGCCAACACGCTGGACCCCCAGGACTCACCAAACCACACGTCACCTCACCCCCCTCCCTATAATGGCAGATCCGAGCCAGATCTGTTCCATCCTGACAAGTCATGTTCCCAAACCTGCATGTAACGACTCTCGTCGCTTCCGCACGGCCCCTCATCCGCCTTGCTCTCCTTCCGGTGGACTTGTCCGCCCGCCCACATGTCCCCCGAGATGGCGGCCCCAAAATGCCCTCTTCCCCAACCTCAACCTTGCACCCTCCCCCAGGAACCAGCGGGACTGGCGCACATATTCTCACTCTCCCCCCGTGCTTGTGTCTTTGTTGCCGCCAAACAGCCATTCCCACTGGATGATAGGCGGGTTGTCTTCTCTGCGGGCGGGGCAGAGTCCCCCCTCCGTTCCCTCCCAACACCCACTTCAAGAGTCCGTGCGGCAGCTGTCAAACCCACGCACGTGCGGCACATCGAGCGACACTTGTCTTTCTCCCCCCTCTCTCTGATGATCCATCATCTTTCTCGCGCAGGCTGCGCGCATATTCCCCCCATTCTTCTTGATTCTCTCCCCCCAGCTTCCCCCTGACCCCCTCATTCAGCTGGCGGCGGCTCAGTTCCTCTCGTCTGGATCCGTACTGTACGGTGCACCCAACATCAGTCTGCCGCAACAATACGCTATCAATCACCCTCACTCGACAACAAGCAGCTATATGTAATCACTCGCCGCTCAACTTGCTTTTCTGCACTAGACATCTTAGACACACGACTCTGGACGCAACTGTGTCTCACCGTGCGTTCCTGGTGTGGTCTGTCAAATCTAAAGCCGTCTCGAGTCAGTTCTCGGCCTTTTTCTTTCCAGCGACATACTTCGGAAAGTCGAGTCTTTGGTACTCGCACTACCTCGGGGTTTTAAACTGTTTCTCGATAGGATCTTGTCCATTCTTCAAATTACAGCTCGTGGTATACTATACCACGATGTTGCGGGAAACTATTCGCGACGCGCTTCTCCTCTTCCTCCCTCCCGTTTTGGGCGGGTTCTCCGCGGCGAAATGCTGCCCATCGCCGGAAAGACTACGCACCATAACGCCCAAATCCCGACACCCCACGCCCTTAACTGATCGGAGTGGGAGAAGCCTCACAGTCCAGTCCCTGTCACCGCAAAGATCGCGCAATCTGCAAACGACGCCGCGTTTTGCGGGGTTCCGTCCGACCTCCTTTTTTGTCTCCAGAGCGGCGGCTCGGCGCGCGTTTCTGTCTCTGCTGCTGCTGCTCGTGGCAACCGCAGTCCTCCGATCCTTCTGCATCACGTGGCGCTGCGGCCACGGCAGAACAAGTCGCTCCTCCGCATTCGGCGGCGGCGGTGGCGACGAAGCAATTGTGGAGCTGAGCGACAGTATTGCGACGGGGGAGCGTCCACGGGTCGTTCTGCGACGAAATTTCCGCTTGTGGAACATTCTCACGAATTCACACGAGTCGGATTGTAAAGCGTCGCACGGCTGCGCTGGCGCAGACTTGGACTCCGCGTCTGCGACGGCGGAAACTGCTACCCCCGAGGAGTCATCGCGTGGCGAATTTCGCCGTCCCTTCGTCCCACGCCCTGCTAATACTGCCACCATACCTCTCCCCGCCCCGCGGGAGCATCGCGCTACAGCCTCAGCAACAGCGACGAGGGTCGGCGCAGAGGCGAATCTAGTGCCGCCGCGCCCGCAGCCGACACGTTGGGCGGCGGCGGGGGGAGCAGCCTCCGACCGACTCTCCAGCGCAGTTGCTGGAGCGACGGGGGAACTGCGGAGGCTCCTCAGCGGCGGCGCCGGCGGCGGCAGCGGTGGCGATGGGAGCGCCCCCACGTGGATGGAGTCACGGCTCCGAGCCGCGGGTGAGAACCTGAAGAGCCGGTGGACTGCCATGGTCGGCGGCGGTGGCGGCGGGAGAGGTAGAGGTGGCGGTGGTGCGTCGTGGCGACGACAGGCGATACCAATTGACGACGACGATGCCGCGACGGCCGCGCTGGTTACTCCCACTCCCCGGCCCGCGGCTGCCGCGGCGATCGACATCAGCGCCACGTCAGCAGGAGCCGCGCCGTTTGGGACGCGCGGAGCGGCGTTGAACGCAGCAGGGGGTGTGGGGATAGGCGAGGCGCAGGAAAGCGCCAAGGGGGGCGCGGAGATTCCGAGACCGTATTATGCGGAGGAATTGAGGGATGGCGCGGAGCAGAACGGCGATGGACAGCGCGGCCCGTGGAGATCAATGGACGACTCGTCGCGGTCGCACGAAAGTGCGTCGCTTGAATCCTCGCATGACTCATCGCACGATGCGTCGCATGGCGACGTATGGGACGCGGAGGCGGACCCCATGGTGCGCGAGCGCATAGTCCCCGGGGACGAGCTGGACGCGGCGCTTGCGCGCATGGACACGCGGCGGCCCGTGTTGGTGACTCTAGCGAACGACGCGTTTCACGCAATGCTGCTCAACTGGTGGTTCCACGTGTCGGAGACCGCAAGCATCCCGAACGTTCTCGTCGGCGCGCTGGACCGAAGCACCGCCGAGGTAATTATTCATTTCACAACTAATATATATATATATATATATATATATATATAAATTTTTTCTTTTACGTCTTCGATCAGACTGTCGTTTTACCGTAACGCTCTAGTGCGAGCGCAAGACCGACGCACGACGGAAGTAACTGTATACGTGCTGACGAGTTCTACTACCAGTGCTACGAACGGTTTACTACAGTGGAAGTACGCCGGGCGCGCTTGCTTTCTCCCCCAAAGGGTTTCGAGGAGTTGGGGGGGCATGGAAGGGTGACTTGTTTGTGGCCCATCAAAATATTCTCGCGGGGAAAAACCCTGCGGGGATTCCGGACCTCCCAACCTCCAGTTCTCCCACTTTTGAATCTCGCTCAGATGAAACTTGTTTCTTCCAACCTCTTCCAATCTAGCGGTCGTCTCATTTCTCTAGCGTCTTGACGCGGAGCCGCCGCATTCACCGTTTTTAGCAGCGTCGCCGTCGCTTTCCTTCCGCCTGCTTCCCTCTGTCATGGTCTCCGCCACTGCTGTCTGTATCGACACAGGACCTTCGATTCCCGCACCGCAGTGCGTATAGGCTCCCCGCTCAGCAAATGGAATCATTCTTTCGGAAACCATTTTCTTAGATGCTTCGTTTCAAGCAAAACCAGGTTTTCACGCGTTTAGCTGCTATAGATGCGCATTGCGCGTTCTCGTTGAGAATAGGTGTCAGCTTTTGCCGATCATGCGATGACGTGGCGCCTGCTATCATAGGATAACACTCTTCCTTTCTTGCCATGCGCGCGCGCCCTCATTCTTGCTCCCCTCATCCCCACTTCCCCCAACCCCATTCTAGCTTCCCCACCTTCCCTTCTCCTGCTCCTTGCTTAAGCTCCGCCATTCCCTCCTTTCCATCCATCCTTTCCCCTTCCCCCCCCCTCTCCGCACCTCCCCCCTTCCCCCCCTCTCTCCATTCCCCCCTTCCCCCCCTCTCCCCTCTCCTCCCCCCGTCACCAGCTATGCAGGCAGCGCGGCATCCCGCACGTGCATCTGCGCACGGGGCTCCCGTCCGACGACTTCCGCGCGGACGCGGGGACGTTCCAGCGCATGGGCGTGTGCAAGACGGCGCTGCTCACAACCCTGCTGGAGCGCGCGCGCGACGTGGTGCTGTCGGACACGGACGTGGTGTGGCTGCGCGACCCCTATACCGAGCTGTACCTGGGGGCCATGCGCCACGCGGATGTTATGGTCTCCTCTGACTCGCTCTCGCACGCCAATGATGAAGCTAGGTAAGGCTGCGCCTGTGGGGAGGCTGCATGGTGGGGAGCGGAGGGGTGGGGAGCAGTGGGGTGGGGAGCGGTGGGGTGGGGAGCGGTGGGTTATGGAAGTATGTGATGGGTGGTGGCATGTGGGTGCTTGTGGGGATGATTTACCTTGGACTCCCTGCTCCTTGCTCCCCGTTCCCCCTCTGCTTCCTCTCCCTTCTTTCTGCTCTCTGCTTCCTCCTCCCACTCTTCCCATCACACCCCCTCTCCTCTACCCCTCTCCCATCAAAGACCCCCTCTTCCCCGTTCTCCCCTTTCTCCCCCTTCTCTTTCTCCCTTTTCTCCCGCTTTTCCCCTTTCTCCCCCTTCTCTTTCTCCCTTTTCTCCCGCTTTTCCCCTTTCTCCCCCTTCTCTTTCTCCCTTTTCTCCCGCTTTTCCCCTTTCTCCCCCTCCTCCTTTTTCCGTCTTCTCCCCATTCCCCTCCTTATCTCATTTCCAGCCTTCTCCCCATCTCCTCCTTTCTCCCTCCCCCCCTTCCCCTCCCCCCAGCCTGCACGCAGATCCTTTGAACAACAGGGGCGAGGATGGGGCGTGGTACCGCGGGGCGACGGCGAGGGGCAGGGAGGTGTTTGGGAACGCGTACGAGCATGCGTTTAACACGGGCGTGCTGCTGCTGCGAGCGCGCCCCCACACGCTGCAATTCGCCCTCGCCTGGCACCACGCCATGAGGTCCGCCCGCTCCCCCTCTGCTTTGAGTCCGCTCCTTCCCACAGTTACATATTCACGAAGCCATATTGAGCACATTAGCTGTCAAAAGAGGACAGGTGGGCTGCGGAGGCCTGACTTCCATCAACTCGTTGTATTAGGACAACGAATCGAACTCCATGGAAAAATGGCGGAAGGAGCCTGGTGTGCGCTAGCTTAGAACGTTATTAAGAGAGCCAGTTTAAGACAAATCTTCACTAAAGGATCAGGGACACTGTAAACCAATTTTCCGCTTTTTCAAGCCTTCATCAGTACAAGCCTGAAACATATTCACGAAGCCATATTGGGCACATTGGGCATGTCAGGCACGTCTCTCTGTACATTTGCTACAGGACCCATGCACTTGTTGTTTGTGCTTGTGAACATTCATCTTTCCTTTTGCTGCACATTCAGCCCCACTGTCTCCTCTCCTTACGAATCCTCCCTCTACCTCTCATCTCCACCTGCCGTGGCACCAGGACCAAGGGAGCAAGCGAGGGGTGGGAGAGCCTGTGGGGCGACCAGCATGCGTTCAACCTGCTGCTGCGCTACCAGATGTTCCCCATCCGCGTTGTCACCTCTCCCTTGCAGCAACAACCCACCACTGCCGCCGCTGCCACCACCGCAGGGAGCTCTCAGCTGCAAGGCGTCCTCCCCATCTCCACCCCGCCCTTCTTCCCTCTCACGATGGCCCGCCACCATGGGGAGCACCGGTCAGCACACAGCACAACAAACAGTGCAGAGAGCGGTGCGGTGGAGAGCAGTGCAGCAGTGGTGGCGAGCAACCGTGTGATCTGGGCATTCAACGGGCAGCTGCGCGTGGCCATCCTGCCGCTCGCCCTCGTGCCCAACGGCCACGTGTTCTTCGTGCAACAACTGCACGGCTCCCCGCACCAGCACGCAAGTCCCGAGGGGCAGACGCAGCCGCAACTGCAGCAGCAGCAGCTCGTGCCTGTGCGTCTGCCTCTGCCGCCCCCGCTGGCAGTACACAACACGTTCCAGTTCCACCACGCGCTGGGCAAGGCTGCTCGCTTCCGAGAAGCAGGGCTGTGGGCCCTGGACCCCCCCGAGTGAGTGGCCAGGGGGAAAGGGGAAAGGGGTTGTGGGTGGGATGGGTGCGCTGCACTTGTGTGCATGCTGATTGTGAGAGAGGCAGGGCTGTGGGCCGTGCCCCCCCCGAGTGAGTCACAATGAGGGGAAGGGGGGGAAATGGTGGGAAGAGGCGAGGGAGTAGGTGGGTGAGTCGTGTGGGGGTGGTGTGGGGCAGTGGCAGGGATGAGTGCGCTGCACATGCTGCATCCTGGTTGTGGGGAGTGAGGCTGTAGATTGTGGACCGACCCGAGTGAGTGGGGAATGGTTGGGAGGAGCCTTTGCTTGGGCTTCATCCGAAGTGATGGTTGGGGGGTTTTCGCGTGTGCGGGGGAAGAGGGTGGGATAACTACGATGGGGTGTGTGTGGAGTTCATGACTTGAGAAGCTCACTACTTGCATGGGTCCATGCAGGTACTACAAGGAGGGAAATTACCTGAGCATGGAGTACAGCACACCGCCATGGATCCATGCCATGGAGCCCGGCATGCTCAGACACCAGGCCGCCATGGAACACTTCTATGTACGTGCCATGCCATGCCATGCCATGCCATGCCATGCCATGCCATGCTATGCTATGCCCATGCCATGCCATGCTATGCCCATGTCCATTCCATGCCATGCCATGCTATGCCCATGTCCGTGCCCTGCCATTTATAGCCCAAATCCTCGTCGTTCCCACGATGCTATCCACCTTTTCTGCAGTCTTCCTTCGTCAAATTCCCAAAACCACAACCACCACCACATCCTCATATCTACCCCCACCACTTCCCACTCCCCCGTCCTCCCCCACTCCATCCTCCCCCAACCCCTTCCCCCCAGCACGTGGCACGAAAGGCCTTCGCCCTGGCGTGGCTGCTGTCGCGCAAGCTCATTCTCCCACGAGTCACCTGCTTCTGCGACCGCTGGTGGGACTCGCTCTCGCACCCCTGCCGCGCGCCCGGCAGCGACCGCGACCCGCCGTTCCTATGCCCGGTGGACTACCTCATCTCGCCGCTCTACTGGGGCAGCAACGCCACGGACATGGTCTACCGCCCCGCTTCGTTCCTGGAGGATCCGAGGACTAGCGATGAGATCAAGTCGTCGAGGTGCGTGCGGGGTGGTGGGGAGTGGTGCGGGGTGGTGGGGAGGGTAGAGTGATAGAGTGGGATAGGAGGGGAGGACGGGGGTATGGGCAAAGGAGGGATGCTCATTTTGTTGTGTAAAGGAGGGAGATGGAGGAATGGTGGTGGCAGTGTGCATGCTGTGCACCATGTGTGAGTGAGCGCTCTGCTGCTGCTCTTCCTGTTCTGTCCTGACCCACCTTGCACATTGTGCACACTGTGTCCATGTGCTTCCTTGTGCTTCTTTGCTGTGCAGACGGTACGTATCCATAGACTATCCTGATGCCTCGTCCCTGCACCACCAACAACAACAACCGCATCGCCAGCTGCAGCAGCAACAGCAGCAGCACCATGAGCAGCAGCAGCAGCAGCAGCCACCGGACCCGCTGTCAGTATACGGGGAGCTGCGGCTGCTTATGAATGCAACGGACAAGGAGGTGCTGGTAGTGCTGGGGCAGCCACACGTGCATGAAGTGCGCGTGCTGCACTTACTGCACCCCCACGACACTTTCTGCAGGTCAGTCGGCTGAAAGGAGGGGGCTAGCTGTGGTTGCGATGTGGGCTGGCGATAGGTTGTGGCAAGGCAATGCGAGCTTGTGAAGGGGCTTGCAGATGGACACAGCACACACTAGCCACATGCAAAGCACACGTGCTCTCCAGGTGTGTTTTGAGCTGAGTCAACTCAAAGCATGCCTGTCAAGGGGCTTGCATATGCATAAAAACACTGGCCACGTTCCTCCTCCCGCTTCCTCTCTAACACCAGTCCACTCAAGCATTCCGCACCTTTTACTCCCGCTCCAACCAACCAATCTCACTCACTCTCTCTGTCTCCTTGGCCTCTCAAAACAGTCCTCACCATCCGAGTTCACTTTCCTTCCCAACTCTCCCTCTCCCTGTCTCTTCTCTCCCCTTGCACGCCTCGCTCCCTCGCACCTCCCAGGTTCGTCGGCCAAAGGGACGCAGAGGCTTTTGATGCGTACACATGGCAGTTCTTTTCTCAAGACTGGTGCTGCACACCCAACCATGAGACTCGCACCTTCTCCATCCCCCCTATAGTAGACATCTCTTTCACTTCTTGTAACCGGCCCTCTCTGGACCAAACACCTGTGGCTGTGTAAATTTGTTGTGTAAATAATGAAGCATGCATTGCTCTTCATGGCAGTTCTGTTCGCTTTTCTCGCGTGCCGTGTGTACGCTTGGAAGTTCGGTGAATCGGAAATGGTGGTGGGGCCTAGTTGCAGAAACACACCGTGACAGCACTCGCAGAGGGGCTGAAGTGGCCGGCCGGACAGGGGCTGAATGTCGGGTCGACCGACTAGCAAGGGGGTGACCGAGATCCTGCCAGCCGTAAACTTGGAATAACCGTACTCGTTGGCCTCATGGTGTCTCCTCGCGTCCTCCAGCCGTGCTTCCAGGGTGTCCACCACATCTGTGTCACCTACGGCGCCTACCATAGTGACTACCGCACAACTGCCGGCCTACGAACACGAATTAGGTAAGTGATAACTACGTCGACCTGGCTGAAAGGTAAGTCGTGTGCCGTCCACGCTCACCGCACCATGCGGAGATAACTCTATCAACGGGAGCTAGACTACGGGCTAGGCACGGGGTAGGAGGGATCTCTGCGTTCGTTCCTTTAGTCGTTCTCTAGCACTTGTGCATTCATGGGGCAAAACCGCAAGAATTTTTCTAGCAAAAGTTGAGAACAATGATAGCAACAACAGAACTAGCAAAGCTGTTGGTCGATTTCCAGAACAGCACGGCCGACCGCGTGCTAGCACGACTTGGTCGACCACGCTCCAGCAGAACAAAGTCGCGGCTTGCCAACGTTGCGAGTCCACGTTGTGCCAACGCTGCAGCAAGTCGGCTGCACAGCGTTACACCCGCAGAACAACGGTGCACCTGCTTCGCAGGTGCGTGCAGCTGGTTGGTGCTCCACGTCTTGTCACGAGCACAGCGCAGACGCCTGGCAGACTCCACGCCAGCGACTGCGCCCACCAGCCACGTCGACCTCGGGATACCACTTCCGAGGTCGGCCTCGCAGAAACCACCCTGGCGACCTTCACATACATCGCCCGGGTATCCCGGTTGACCGGGCAACCTCGCCTGGTCGACCAGCTCAGTCCGTCGCCGACCACCCGTGACCGGCGCCCCCAATGTCGGCTCCAGCTGGTCGACGACCGACGTCCTCCCAGGTCGGTAGGCGGTGCATATGGAGTGAGCGTACCGGACATTGAAATGCTCATATCTTGTAAACTGCGAGCAAAGAAGTGAAACTACTCGGTAATGATGTGGAATATAGTCAAATATATTGGACTAGCTAATCATCAAGGGCATCCATTCCTTATGTCCAATCAATGTCGTGCGCTGGTCAGTATGGTCGATAGGTGCACATGGAGTGAGCGCACCGAGCAGAGTTGAAATGTTCAAATCTTGAAAACTGCGTAAAATGAAGTGAAACTATTCGGTGAGGATGTAAAATATAGTCTAATCTAGTGGAATAACTAATTATCAAGGGCTTCCGATCCTTGTGTCCAATAAAAGCCGTGCATTTGTCAGTATGGTCGGTAGGCGCACATGGAGTGAGCGTACCGGACAGAGTTGAAATGCTCAAATCTGGAAAACTGCGAGGAATGAAGTGAAAATATACGGTAAGGATGTGGAATATAGTGTAGTCTATTGGAGTAGCTAATAATCAAGGGCATTCAATCCTTATGTCCAATCAAAGTCGTGCATTTGTGAGTATGGTCGGTAGGTGCACCTGTAGTGAGCGTACCGGACAGAGTTGAAATGCTCAAATCTTGAAAACTGCGCGGAATGAAGTGAAAATATTCGATGAGGATGTGGAATCTAGTCTAATATAATAGAATAGCTAATAATCAAGAGCATCCAATTTCTATGTCCAATCAAAGTCGTGCATTTGTTAGTATGGTCGGTAGGCATATCTGGAGTGAGTGTACCGGGCGGAGTTGAAATGCTCAAATCTTGAAAACTGCGTGGAATGAAGTGAAAATATTCGGCGAGGATGTGGAATCTAGTCTAATCTAGTGGAATATCAAATAATCAAAGGCATTCAATCCTTATGTCCAATCAAAGTCGTGCATTTGTCAGTATGGTCGATAGGCGCACATAGAGTGAGCGTACCGGGCAGAGTTGAAATGCTCAAATCTTGAAAGCAGCGTAGAATGAAGTGAAACGGTTCGGTGAGGATGCGGAATATAGTCTAATCTAGTAGAATAGGTAATCATCAAGGGCTAAAATCCTTAAGCCCAATCAAAGTCGTGCGTTTGTTAGTATGGTTGGTAGGCGGACATGGACTGAACGTACCGGGCAGAGTTGAAATGCTCAAATCTTGAAATATGTGAGGAATGAAATGAAACAATTCGGTGAGGATGTGGAATATAGTCTAATCTAATGGATTAGATCATCATCAAGGGCATCCAATCCTTATGTCCAATCGAACTCGTGCTTTGGTCAGTATGGTCGGTAGGCGCACATGGAGTGAGCGTACCGGGCAGAGTTAAAATGCTCAAATCTTGGAAACTGTGAGGAATGAAGTGAAACCATTCGGTGAGGATGTGGAATATAGTCTAATCTAGTGGAATAGCTATCATCAAGGGCATCCAATCCTTATGTCCAAACAAAGTTGCGCGTTGGTCAGTATGATCGGTGCGCGCACATGGAGTGAGCGTACCGGGCAGAGTTGAAATGCTCAAATGTTGTAAACTGAGAGGAAAGAAGTGATGAGGATGTGGAATATAGCCTAATCTAATGGAATATCTAATCATCAAGGGCATCCATTCCATATGTCCAATCAAAGTCGTGCGTTGGTTAGTGTGGTCGGTAGGCGCACATGGAGTGAGCGTAACGGGCAAAGTTGAAATGTTCAAATCATGAAAACTGCATGGAAAGAAGTGAAACTATTCAGTAAGGATGTGGAATATAGTCTAATGTAGTGGACAAGCTAATCATCAAGGGCATCCAATCCTGATGTCCAGTCAAAGTGATGCACCGACCAGTTTGGTCGGGATGCGCATATGTAGGGAGCATACCAGGTAGAGTTGAAACACTCATGTCTTGCAAAATAGGTCGAATCCAACGGAATGACAAGGCATGCAAGTAGAAAATAGTCCAATCTAGTGAAGTAACATTAAACAAAGGGCATCCAATTCGGATGTCCAGTCAAAGTGATGCACCGACAAGTTTGGTCGGGATGCGCATATGTAGGGAGCGTACCAGGTAGAGTTGAAACGCTCATATGATGCAAAATATGTGGAATGGAACGGAATTACAAGGCAGGCAAGTAGGAAGTAGTCCAATCTAGTGAAGCAACCTTAAAAAAAGGGCATCCAATTCGGATGTCCAGTCAAAGTGATGCACCGACCAGTTTGGTCGGGATGCGCATATGTAGTGAGCGTATCAGGTAGAGTTGAAACTCTCATATGATGCAAAACATGTGGAATGCAATGGAATGACAATGCAGGTAAGTAGGAAATTGTCTAATATAGTGAACAACCTCAAACAAATGCCATCCAATTCGGATGTCTAGTCAAAGTGATGCACCGACCAGTTTGGTCGGGATGCGTATATGTAGGGAGCGTACCAGGTAGAGTTGAAACTCTCATATGATGCAAAACATGTGGAATGCAATGGAATGACCATGCAGGTAAGTAGGAAATTGTGTAATCTAGTGAACTAACCTTAAACAAAGGGCATCCAATCCGGATGTCCAGTCAAAGTGATGCACCGACCAGTTTGGTCGGGATGCGCATATGTAGGGAGAGTACCAGGTCGTGTTGAAACGCTCATATGATGAAAAATATGTGGAATGCAATAGAATGACAAGGCAGGCAAGTAGAAAACAGTCTAATCTAGTGAACTAACCTTAAATAAAGGACATCCATTGTCAGAAGTCCAGTCAAAGTGATGCACCGACCAGTTTGGTCGGGATGCGCATATATGGGGAGCGTACCAGGTAGAGTTGAAACGCTCATATGATGCAAAATATGTGGAATGGAACGGAATGACAAGGCAGGCAAGTAGGAAATAGTCCAATCTAGTGAACTAACCTTGAACAAATGCCATCCAATCCGGATGTCCAATCAAAGTGATGCACTGACCAGTTTGGTCGGTATGCGCATATGTAGGGAGCGTAACAAGTAGAGTTGAAACGCTCATGTCTGGCAAAATTTGTGGAATGCAATGGAATGACATGGCAGGTGAGTAGAAAATAGTTTAATCTAGTGAATTAACCTTAAACAAAGGGCATCCAATTCGGATGTCCAATCAAAGTGATGCACTGACCAGTTTGGTCGGGATGCGCATATGTAGGGAGCATACCAGGTAGAGTTGAAACGCTCATGTCTTGCAAAATTTGTGGAATGCAATGGAATGACATGACAGGTGAGTAGAAAATAGTATAATCTTGTGAACTAACCTTAAACAAAGGGCATCCAATCCGGATGTCCAATCAAAGTGATGCACTGACCAGTTTGGTCGGGATGCGCATATGTAGGGAGCGTACCAGGTAGAGTTCAAACGCTCATGTTTTGCGAAAATATGTGGAACGCAATGGAATCACAAGGCCAGTGAGTAGGAAATAGTCGAATCTAGTGAACTAACTTTTAACAAATGTCATCCAATCCAGATGTCCAGTCAAAGTGATGCACCGACCAATTTGGTCGGGATGCGCATATGTAGGGAGCGTACCAGGTAGAGTTGAAACGCTCATATGATGCAAAATTTGTGGAATGGAACGGAATGACAAGGCAGGAAAGTAGGAAATTTTCAAATCTAGTGAACCAACTTTAAACAAATGGCATCCTATCCGGATGTATAGTCAATATGATGCACCGACCAATTTGGTCGGGATGCACATATGTAGGGAGCGTACCAGGTAGAGTTGAAACAATCATATGATGCAAAATATGTGGAATGCAATGGAATGACAAGGCCGGTAAGTAGGAAATTGTCTAATATAGTGAACTAACCTTAAACAAATGGCATCCAATTCGCATGTCCAGTCAAAGTGATGCACCGACCAGTTTGGTCGGGATGCGCATATGTAGGGAGCGTACCAGGTAGAGTTGAAACTCTCATATGATGCAAAATATGTGGA